ACATCTGTGCCAGGTGGAGTGGCCACCTGAGAGCTCACGACAGGGTAGGAACCAGACTTCCGCAGAGCCCTGCTGGGATACATGGACTCTATCACCTTCTGAATGTTTTCTTCTCTGGGACTTTAATGTTGACTTAAATATTCTGGTTCATGTAGCCAGCTGTTCTGGGAATAACCAGACTCAAGGCAATATGCAACATATTAAACTTATCTAGACCTGCCTAAATATAGCTAGTGTCCACAGGAGGAAAGGACTGGCTTAACTGTAAAGCAGGCTTAACCCGCTCACACAGCTTCAGGCAGAGCCTGACAACTTGGGAAAAGATCAGAAATCAGCCGGAGTGTACAGTGCGTATGAGTGTGGTCTCTGGACTATAAAACTTTTCTTCGACAATGAAAATACTCCCTTTTCCCATTTTTAAAACTCTGTATTTCCTGGAAGTCTCGTGTTAATGACACGAAATTTCAGTCACAGAAATCAGCTGGACCCAAGCTAGGGAGGTTTTATAAAAAGTAGAAGTATTATTATTAGCGAATACTTATTTGACTCTATATATATTCTGTGTAGTATATATTTAATCCTTGTAATAACTTTATGAGGTAGGTAGCGCTACTATTATTCCCATTTTACAGATGAGGAAACCAAGACTGAGTGTGGCTAACTTGCCTACGATTGCACAGGAGGTAGGGGTGTGAGATTCCAAACAGACTCTAGAGTCTAGAACACAGAATGTTGTGGCCTTTATTATAATAAAAACAACCACAGCAACTTCCATTTGTTGGCCAGGTACTGGGTGAGCTTTTTATATGCACTGTCTCATAAATTCTTCATAACCACATCCATTATGCACTGCTAACACTTCACTTACATTTGAGGATTCAGAAGCTTCGAGAATTTAAAGAAGTTGTTCAGGACCCACAGCCAGTAAGTGACAGAAGCAGGAGTCAAAGCCATTTCCTAACCACTCTACAATTGTTATAACTGACCTGCCTGACCTACAGTCTGAGCCCACGGACAGACTGCATTCCAGTAGCACTGCTCCCCCTTAGGGCTCCTAAGTCCTCACCGAAGACAGAGCTTCCTGGCTCGTCATCTTCAGGTTTTTAAAGATAACAATTTCCATTTTAAGGTCTATGTGAATTTTCATTGTCGGTATACGCTGAATTCCAAAGGTACACAAACTCGTATTATTGGTGAGGATCCTTCTTCTTTCTACAAGGGCTCAATTTGATGAGAATGTTACAATAGTATTTGGAGAGCATCATGCAAGAGGAGGGAAGTTTAGAATGAAAACTCTGTATAGGTCCATTCCACTCCTTTAGGTAAGTGACCTCCCCACTCTATGGTGGCACCACCACCTAAGCGCCCTACCTCCCAGGGCTGCTGCAAGGCTACTGAATCCTCCAGCTGAGGCGCATGACTCAATTCCTTTTGCATGCACATGACTTAAAAAACAACAACAAAAAAGTCGTTAGGATCAGAGAACCTATATGAGTCATTCTGATTTAGATCTTGACCTTTAGGGCTTTTTTAGGCTGAGACTTCCTGTATTGTTGGAAATGAAAGTAACTGAAAAATGGAACTTATCCAGAGAAAACAAGGAAGGAAAAAAAGGGCATCTCCAAGAAACAGGATCATCCTTCTTGAAGGGATAAAAGCTACTGTGCCACAGCAATGCTGCCAAGTGGCCTGAGAAACAACCCTTCTACACACAGCCCACCTGCTTTACCACATCCAAGCTGGTCCCCAGCCATCCTATGTGGAATCTTAGCCTTCAAGGCCCATTTCAAACCCTGCCTTCACTTAGCCTCTCCTACCCCCTTCACCAACCTTCTGCAGCCTCCCCCGGGGAAAGCCCTGGCTTTTGCTCTGTCACTTCACCAATGTGGCCTTGGACACGTCAGGTTTGTCCTCTCTAGACTGAAAGAAGGTTCAATGCCTGCTGGGACAAATTATATGAATGTCCTCAGTACACTGCCTTGTACACAGCAGGCACTCTGTATGGGTGTTGAGTTGAATTAAATTGATGACTCCAAATCCTGATTTTTCCAACAAGGCAAAGATTTACAGTTTTAATATGGCTAAGATCAGGAAATAGTTATCTCTTTAAACAGAGACATATTTTTTCTGGATATTACTATATTGTTGTTATTAATACTATTATTACCTAGGATTTCTTCATCCGAGGTTATTACAAACTGAGGAAGTAAGAAACAACAAACCCCAGTGCCCTAAGCACTATCTTAATGGCCAAAATTTTGGGGACATAGGAAGAAATTTCCTAAATGGAAAGAGGAAGTATAAATGAGAGGAGGAAAAAAAAGGAAGTGAAAGTCTGATGACAGACAGGCAGGCAGAGTTTTGGAGGAAAATGGAAAGATTAAGCTGGCACCAGTGCAAAGGCCCCAACCAAAGGAACTAGGATGGGGCTCCATGTACAGCCAGCCGAGGCTGCTGGCATCTGCCCGTGTTGGGCAACCAAGAGGTGCCCCATGGCTGCCCTGGGGTTAGCAACTATGGAAGTCTTCATTGCTTAAGAGAGTAGGTCCTATGTGGCCAGAGGTCAAGGTACAATGCACAACTTGAGTCCATCAATTCAGTTTAAACATGTCATATACTTCTACCTGCTTTATTGTCAACACTCAAAACTTCCTATATCCTTGTTAGTGTCTGAAAAACAAATGTGGGCTAAGTGGATATATCTTGTGATTTATGTGAATTTTGAATTACAATTGTTCCAGAAAGAAAGAAAGCTGGGATGAAGTCCCATGGTACCCTGCTGTAACTCTCCCCAAGAAAATCTTACCCCCGCCCCCTCCGTTCTTCTGCCCTTGAGGGTCAAGGCTAAGCTGTGGTCATTTACTCAAGTAATGTGGGCAGAGGAAAGGAGACTGAAATGGACTGAAAATCTGAGAATAAATGGGGTGCTGTAAAGGGAAGGTCATTGCTAAGGAAAAATAATAATAATAAAAGAGCTCCCAAGATGAGAGGAAAACTCTACCAGGGGAAAGTAAATCTAAGTTCCGTTCCCATATGTAACGAGCAACACAGAGTGGGGCTCATCTTAGTAATGTGACCGTGACAACCATACACGTAAGCGAAGGAGCCAGCAGCCTTTCCAGGACAAAAAGCTGTCACAAGGGCTGATCCAAACACATGGGTTTCGGTTCTAGACTATTCATATTATGATTGTTTCTCACAAATAAATTTCTCCTGGTTCTCGCATTGCCTCCAAAGCCCAGGCGGCCCTCACCTCACCACTTCGGCCTCTGACAGGGTCGGAACTGGGAAGGGGAGGTGCGGGAGGTTAGGGTGGGGCACGGGGTGGGGAGGGAATGAGATGGAGGGTAAGGGGTGGGAGGAGCTCCGGGGGAGCAGGGCCGGGTACTCTTTTCCCGCCCTGACACTGGCGCCAAACACTTTGGTGAGTCTGGGCAAGTCGCGGAGCTTCGCCCAGCCTGTTTCCACAACTGTAAGTGGGGGCAATCCAGCTCGGAACTTGTGTGATTGCAAGATTTCTCTCAGCACCTCGGAGGTGCTGGCGTGGAGGGGACCGCATCCCGCACTTACGAGGTTTCTGTCAGGTGAAAGCCAGGCGGTTCCCGCTCAGCAGCCGCTCTCCCCTCCTCTGCGGGCCGTCAGACCCGAGGGGGCGGGGGAGGGACGCATCCTGCTAGGTGATAAGCAGCAAGCCCCGCGAGCGAGCGATTCCAGCCGTTCGACTTCTGTGTGACCCGAGCGCAAGGCGCGCGGCCTGTTGACGACGGCGGCGCCGCGGTTGCTCGGACAGCACCAATTGCTGTGCGGTTCGTCCTGCCGGTCCCGCCCACAGAGCGCGCGTCCTGAGGGGGGCGGGGACAGGGGCGGGGCCCCGAGGCGGGTTCTGGGCGCGGTCCCTCCAACTGGCACCCGGAGCAAGGGCACCCCGCCAGCTGATTCGGAGAAAGGCACTGTCCCCTGCGCTGGCAAACATAACAGACGAATACACAGACGAGCTCTGGTAGAGGCTATGGGCGTATGCGGCACACACTGTAGATGTTACCACTAACTTATGTATGTACTTTCCAACCTGCAGAAAACTTTTTAGTCTTCACTTCAACGCTGTGAAGAGCGTTGTTTTATTTTACTGTTCAGGGAAAGAAGCTTAAAGAGGGAGGCAGCTGGAGCAAGGGTGGAACTGAGACCGAGGCGCTGTGACCTGCACTTTTGCAATTTTGAGGGCAGGGGCTGCAGTTACCAAAAATAAGTTTATCTATTAGTTATGAGGATTCCTAGAGGCATTATTTTCTTCATTCAGCTTTGTTTTTAACCCTATTTTAGTTTTACCTTATCCGATCAAAGAGCTCGAAATTTATGCCTGTGATTTTTCAATCACTTGGAAATACAACTGTATTTGTGAAAAGCATCTTTAAATCCTTAATAAAAGATCCCACAGGCAAATATATTGGGACATAAAATTGCATTTTAGATTTGAAAACTCAAGAAATGACCAAATCTTATGTAGGGTTTTAAGTCAAAGATCTAATAAAACATATTTAATATTGGAACTAAATAATTGTCCTCAACAGAAAAGTACTTCATTCACAGAGGTTTAGTTTTTCTGCATTCTTTCAACACTAAACCATTCTTTTAACTAAAAAGTACTGAAAGCTTTGATTGTATATCACAAATCATTCTGTAAAGTTATATGATTGTATGCGATTGGCCCTGCAAATCACACCTTCCAACCTCACCACCAAAAAACAAACAAAAACTCAACAGTACTAAAAATTCTGTTCAGAAGGGAGATAACATAGCAGCCACGCCCACATTTGCTAATGCCACATTAATCTCTGCTGTCCTCACCCTGCCAGACTCATATTCCTGGGATATGTGGGTGTGGTAGAAAACAGCATCCACACAGCCAAACCCACTGCCTCCATTGTCTTGCCAGGCAGTCCTGTTCCCACCTTCAGCTCGTGCATTCTGCCTTCCCTGGGACACTTGCCACTTACATGCAAGTAACTGCAGATGACTCTCTGTTTCTGTCAATTATGTTTATGGGTCTGTAAGCATAAATTCTTATAAAAATTTATAAACACTACTTAAATTTAGACAGATGATTGAGCAGAATTCTGGGTTATTCTGAAATATTACATAGCTGATATGGACTTGAGTTCAGCTAGCTATAGGATGGTTCACCTCATTTTTGTTTGTTGAGTGGTTTGGAATAATACCTTTAGCACCGTTGTGATATATCACTGTACTGAATTTTAACAAATGTGATTTGAATTTATATTTTACAGATCATTTGTATCCTACCCTCAACCTCAGTAATTGACACTTTTCCTATCAATCTCATCCTTAATGTCTAACCTAAGTGTGCCCTTCAGGGCCTAGATTATTCTTTCAGCCTCTTTGCCCACTGCCCACAATGCAAACTGTCCAGCAGAGATGCTGACCTGGTCCCTGCCTCTGCCCACAGATGTCTTTACTCAGACCACCCCCTTCACCAATCCTGCATTACTGAAGTTTGGGGGCCACAGCCCTCCAGATCTTTCAGGGTCAGCTCAAGTGCTTCTCTCTTCCATGGACCCTCCAGACCCAATCATTTCTCTCTACCTATTCAAACACTGCGTCAGTCATCAGCACTGCACTTTGGCAACTGCACAGCCTTGTGACAGCACTTACATTGTTATTTGACCTTTATGCTATTTACTTTTCAGGTTGGATGGTTTTTCTTTAAGCATGTCTATGACTGGCACTACTTGGCCTTATGATCATGATTAGAATTTGAGAGGAGCAGGGAGGGTAATAAATGAAATAAAAGGAGGAAAAGCAATTTTCCCTAACCCACCACAAAAACTGAGGCCAAAGAATAAATAGAACATTCATTCAAGGGAATTGTATGCATGTGTGAAAAAGAGTCTGAGATGGAATTCACAGAAACATTCCTAAAGAGGGAAGAAGAGGATGGAGAAAGTGGGGGAGCAGAGTAACGAAACGGATGGCAGTTGCTGGTGAACTTTGATTGGCACTGTCGCTCCAGGGTATTTGGCTGTCTGGGCCTGCCTGAGAGAGGTGGGTGGGAGTAGAGGGAGGCAGAGTCTAACAGACACTGTGTATATTGTCATGTTCTTCAGGTCAGTGTTTATTATTTGGGGAGTGAATGCAGCCCCCGGCTCTCAATCTAACACCTTTTGTGAGGGATAGAGCTTTTAGGCATCATGTCCTACCCTTGACAATGACTCTGTTCTGTGTTGATCAACATTTAATAATAATAGCTAAAATTTATTGAATGCCAGACAATATTCCAACCACTTTATCACTTTATTCAATCCCTTTGAAAGCTCGGTGAGGGAAATACTGTAATTACCCCCATTTTACAGATAAACTGAGACACAAGATTAAGCACCTTCTCCAAGGCCACTCGCTAGTGTAAGGTGGCTCCAGAACTTGAACCCAGGCAGCCTGCCTCAACACCCTTCCCCCTTAATTATACACTACATTGATCAGTTGTTGGATTTAGTTTTCCCCAAAAAAACGTTTTGTCATCTCAGTTGTACAGTGTTTATTTAGAACTAGATATAAATGCCACAATGAAGACCTCACTGGATTCGAAAGGATTTTAAATGGCGTAAAGCTGGTATATTTTCTAATTACCATTCCCTCCCACACTTCCTGCTAACCAATGTCTTTGCAATGTGGCCCTGCTTTCAAAGAACTGGATGCCTTTTGGTCTACTATCACATCCCAACAGCTAAATTAAGAAGAACTAAAGAAAGATACTTTATTTAAACAAAAAGTTTCAGACACTTGGAAATTTAAAAATTGCCTTCGAAACAGATGCTCATACTAAAAGCTGCTGAAAACAATACTCCTGGGATGAGATTTTGATCCTAAGGACGTGATATTTAGGAATGGGCCTGTACCTTGCCTTGGCCCTGTCATCCTCTTTCTGTGACTCCTCAGGAGAGGATACACACACCTGATGATGGCAGTGGACAGGAAGTCATTTCTTTATTTTAAGTCCCTCTGACCCTAGCATAGGGCAACCTGGCAACCCCGTATGGGCACAGGGCTTGGGCACAAGTCTAGGACCTCTCTTCTTCTAAGCTCAGATCTTTCTACCAGATCCCTGCCAAGTCTAGAGAGACACACATGTGGCACGGCTCAGGTGGAAGGAAGAGACAGAAGAGGTCTGTGGCAGGCTCTGGTCTGGCTGCTCTCTTTTCCCTTTTGAGAATGAGCTAAGTGCACCCAGGTGTGTCTCTTCACACCTGTAAACTTGTCACCATCAACATCCTGGAACCTGAGCCAATCAGATCAGTATTCCCACTTCTTGCAGAGTGAAGAAGAAGAAGAGGATTAACATTAGAAGAATTGGGACATTCTCATAGATGAATCTAATTATAAGGATCCTAGGGAAAATACCAGCAAATTGAATTTAGTAGAATATATTTTAAATTATTGTTTTAAAATCCATAAAAGCACATGCCTTTCTGCCAAGCAATTCCACCTCCAGGTTTCCTTGAGAACACACAAGGGTGTTTCTTGTAATAGTAAAATAATGGAAATCATCTAAATGTCCATAAGGCAGTGGTTGGAATGATATTCTCATTGTGATATGATAGCAGTTCAAAAGAATAAATTTATTTGTTATAGTCTAGAAAGATCTCCAAATATACTGTTGAGTTTTTTTAATCAAGTTGCAGAACAAATACGTGCAATAAGTGCATTTTATGTTAAAAATATGTTTGCTTCCACTCATAGCCCACTGGCCAGAGCAAGTCACATGACTCCACTTAATGACTACAAGATGAGGAAATATGGGGAGCACAGGATAATCACTGGGCAGAGAATTTCTCTCTGCCATATAAGCGAAGGCTTAGACTTTTGGAGAACAACAGCCAGAAAGAGTTGCAGGCACACTCAGCTTTCCACCATGCTACGTACATCACCTGAGGAAATGAAGTGGGGAACAGGCTGCCTGGTAGAATGTGGTGGCAAGGGCACTTGAAATATGCAGAGAGCCGGGAAAATACACACACCCTGCAACACACACATATCCTACAACACATACACACATGTACATATATACAAATCCAGTTTCATCTAAAACTATATACTAAGATTTGCTTACTAAAATAGAAATGCTGTCACAGAGACAAGTTTTATAATATTATATACCAAGGGCTTTTGTAAAATGTTAATATAATAATGATCATCTGAAGATTATCTTCTGACCAATGAATTAACCAGGTTCTTGAGTCATTAACCAATAGTGCAAGAATTGCTGATTTTTAACTATGGTAAAAGTTTAAACAAGAGTCTCAGAGAGTCATTACCTAAAAGCCACTTTTTATCCTTTAAGGTCCTCTTTAATTGAAAAGAAGGTTTTAAAGGAGTACATATTCATAGGTTTTTTTCCCTCCATGGAGAACTTCTCTAACTTTGTGATGAATGTCAGCTCTCTTCCTTTGTGAAGCTCAAGCCTCAATCTCTAATATCCCAGTGCCCTTGGACCTACCCAAGACACTGGCTCAGCAGGCCAGTAAAGAAGCATCACAGCAGCCATGCTCAGGGGCCCAATCACTGCAGAAATCCACCCCCTACCCCAATCCATATTTGACTTTTAAAACTACGTAATGGAAGTAGAATTTTAACCTGAGTGGAAAGAGACCTTTGTATTTACTCCTCCAGGAATGTTCTTCCACCAGATAGCCATGTGACTCACTCTCACCACCTTCAAATCTTTTCTCAAACGTCACTTTCTCACTGAGGCATTCCTTGACCAAGGCACTGAAAATGACAGACAACCC